GTACAGCGAGTGGGTGGGCGTCGCAGTATACGCGGGAAGTTTTTCTTCTTCTTCTCTTGTTTTGCAGCGGATTGCAAACAACTTTAAGGTGCATACCGCCACCTACTGTACTCACCGTGAAGTGGTTTGTGGCCTGCCAGTAAAGCCAAAGCAGAAGAAGAAGAAGTGACGTCAGCGGCTCATTTGCGTAATCTTCCCTCAGGGAAAAGTACTCCGGTGTGAACGCGATCTGTACTAAGTGCCCTGGGGTTAAAAGCGCCGGGGCTCTAATGGCGCGTTTCCACTACACACACTGTCAACGCCTTTGAGGATACTCTTCATTCATCCCCCAGCTCTCTCTACTCTCCGCTCACCCTTTCACCCTCGCCCTCCCCCCTGGAGTTCGATGACCGCATGAAGGCGATATGCAGGGTTGGCAGCATGTCCTTTACCCCCGCCCCTCAACGACGCCCACCAAAATCACCGAAGACAAGCCTACGTCAACCACCTCCCCCCCCTGGCAGCATGTCCTTTACCCCCGCCCTTCCACAACGCCCACCAAAATCACCGAAGCAGAGACACGCACCATCTCCCCCGTCTTCATCACCGTGCCTACGTCAACCACCTCCCCTCCCTTCAAGAAAGCATCTGCAGTATCCGAAGCCTGATAAGGATGTGTGTGTACAAAACGCAACAAACTATTTCTGATATGTGCTGGGTCCAGGCTCAAGGGCATATGGCACTCTCAACTCTTTCCAGCACATGCCGGGGCCCTGCCTGCCAGTAGCTTTGCCGATATCTGTGTTGATAGGTAATAGATTAAGAGCGGTAAATCAGCTTAGAAACAGGAAGTGCTCAAACGTTTGTGTGAGGTTATCAAATTTAGCAGTGATTCCATGTCAGCCACAGCTTGTCACAAATGTTTTTACTGATAGTGTATTTAACAAACTTAAACTAGCTTTATTAAATGTCAGGTCTTTGGCAGGAAAAACATTTTTAATCAATGATTTTATCACTGAGCACAATCTCGATTTTATGTTTTTAACGGAAACTTGGATTGAACAAAATAACAGTGCAGCTGTTCTTATCGAATCAACCCCTCCCAACTTTAGTTTTATGAGTCAGGAAAGAATGCATAAGAAGGGAGGTGGAGTTGCTATTTTGTTCAATGATTCCATTCAATGCAGGAAGACATCTTATGGGGACTTTGCTTCTTTTGAATATGTGGCCCTTCAGCTGAAATGCTCCTCTCGAGCTCTGTTCCTAAATATCTATAGACCACCCAAATACTGTGCAAGCTTTTTTGATGATTTTACTGAACTGCTGTCAATAGTGTGTATTGACTTTGACCGTTTAGTCATTGTTGGTGATTTTAACATCCATGTTGACAACCCCCAGGACAGAGGGGCTAAAGAACTGTTTTGTGTTCTTGATAACTATGGGCTGACTCAGCATGTGACGGAGCCCACGCACAATAAGGGGCACACTCTGGACTTAATGATCTCAAAGGGTCTGAATATCTCAAAGGTTGTGGTGACTGATGTTGCACTCTCTGATCATTCCTGTGTTTTCTTTGAGAGCTCTATTTCTGTTCACAAAAATGTTCAGAAAGAGGTAACCACAAAGCGATATTTAACTGAAAATACTAGGGAAATGTTTACTCATAATTTTTCATCCACACTCTCCCCTGCTAACATCTCAGTAAATGAGCTAGTAGATCATTTTAATTCAAAAATTAAAAATGTTATAGATACCATTGCTCCAACTACGGTAAAGGAAGTGATTGGCAAGAAAATATCTCCATGGAGAAAGGCCATGACCGTGAGAACAGAAAAAAGAGTGTCGAAAAGCTGAACGTAGGTGGCGAAAAACAAATCTCCAGGTTCACTTTGAAATCTATAAAGAGAGACTTGGCCTTTATAATTTCGAATTGAAAAACGCACGACAGTCTTTCTTCTCTGACATCATTACCAAAAACAAAAACAACGCACGTGCCTTGTTTGCTACCGTCGACAGACTAACTAACCCCCCAGTGTCAGTAGCCTCTGAATTTCTATCCACCAGGGCGTGCAATGATTTTGCCTCCTTCTTCACTGACAAAATTCAGAAAATTAGACAAGCAGTCAGTGCCTCTGTATCAGGTACAGCAAATGTGTTGTCCCTATGTCCACCTAATATCAATTCAAACACCATGACACAATTCCATCAGATTAATGGTAAAAACTTAGAGGACATTATTCAACTTCTGAAATCCTCCTCCTGCTGCCTTGATATTATTCCAACAGGATTTTTCAAAGATGTTTTTCCTTGCATGGCCTCAGATCTACTTCATATAGTAAACACATCTCTTCACTCAGGTATTTTTCCAGAGGCCCTGAAAACTGCAGTCATTAAACCGCTCTTAAAAAAGAATAATCTAGATGCTTCAGTAATGAACAATTACAGGCCAATATCAAACCTGCCATTTCTAGGTAAAATCATTGAAAAAGTTGTATTTCAACAGTTGAGTAACTTCTTGCATTTAAATAACTGTTTGGATGTGTTCCAGTCAGGATTTCGTCCAAACCACAGCACTGAGACTGCTCTTGTAAAGGTCTTCAATGACATCCACTCAAACACAGACAGTGGCAGAACTTCAGTGTTAGTATTATTAGATCTCAGTGCTGCGTTTGACACTGTTGACCACAACATATTACTAGACCGACTAGAAAACTGGGTGGGACTTGCGGCAACAGTTCTAAATTGGTTTGAGTCCTACTTAAAGGACAGAAAAAACGTTGTTTCTATAGGTAAATACACATCTGAGTTGACAAATATGACATGTGGGGTACCTCAAGGCTCCATCTTGGGGCCTCTTCTCTTTAACATCTACATGCTACCACTGGCTCAGATAATGAAAAACAACAAAATAAGTTACCATAGCTATGCGGATGACACACACATTTACATAACAATTTCACCAGGAGATTATGCTCCAATTCAAACACTGAGTAAGTGCATTGAACAAATCAATGACTGGATGTGTCAGAACTTTCTCCAATTAAACAAAAATAAAACTGAGGTAATGGTTTTTGGAGCCAAGGCAGAACGTATAAAAGTTAGCGCTGAGCTTCAGTCTGCAATGTTCAAAACAACAGATAAAGCCAGAAATCTAGGTGTAGTCATGGACTCTGACCTGAGTTTCAACAGTCACATTAAAACAGTTACTAAATCAGCCTACTATCACCTAAAGAACATATCTAGGATTAAAAGACTAATGTCACAGCAGGATTTGGAAAAACTTGTCCATGCTTTTATCTTCAGTAGACTCGACTAATGTAATGGTGTCTTTACAGGTCTCACTAAAAAATCTATTAGAAAGCTGCAGCTAATTCAGAACGCCGCTGCTCGAGTCCTCACTAACACTAAGAAAGTGGATCACATCACACCTGTTCTGAAGTCCTTACACTGGCTTCCTGTGTGTCAAAGAATAGATTTCAAAATACTGCTGCTGGTTTATAAAGCTTTGAATGGTTTAGGCCCAAAATACATGTCTGACCTACTGCTAAATTATGAACCATCCAGATCTCTCAGGTCTTCAGGGACTGGTCAGCTTTCTGTCCCCAGAGTCAGAACTAAACATGGAGAAGCAGCATTCAGTTATTATGCTCCAAATATCTGGAACAAACTCCCAGAAACCTGCAGGTCCGCTGCAACTCTTACTACTTTTAAATCCAGGCTGAAGACTTTTCTTTTTGCCGCTGCTTTTAATTGAACTATTCACATCTTAAACTGCACTGTAACTTTTAACTTTTATCCATGTATTTTTTCTTTTAATGTTTATTTTATTATCTTTTCTTTTTAATGACTGATTTTAAATGCCATTTTCATAATGTCTTCCATTTTTGTAAAGCACTTTGAATTGCCTTGTGTTGAAAGGTGCTATATAAATAAACTTGCCTTGCCTTGCCTTGCCTTACACGGCCTCGCTCGGCCCCGCTCGGTATGGCTGGGCCTCGTTAGGACTGGCTCACTTTATGGCGCATTTCCATTACAGTTTAGGAACTGGGGTAGTATCTATAGTAACGCAGTGTAGGCGGAGCCGTGACGTGATCTTCAGAGATCCCCAGAAAAACAACACAGCCGTTAGCTGTTAGCACTCAGAGCTCACAGCTCCTCATATATGTTCAGAAACTAGACAAAAGTTAAACAAGTACAAACCACAGACTGCCTGTGTCATGGTGAATACAGTCGCTGCTTTATTTATGTCTGTATAGGCCGTTGTTGTGAGTGTGGACGGTCGGAGCATATACTGCGTTAGCTTAGCCAATCTCCATTTAGAAAACAAGCATTTTAAAAGGTTTTTCCCCTGCCGTCTGTCTGCAGACTTGACAAAGCATTAATTCATGGTTTTTACTAACCGGTATCAGTATGTTGTTACTTCGGCATCATTTTGAAACGTGTATTACAATTAAATCACGGTCAAATATGTCCATCTTGTTGTAGTTGTAGCCCCTTTGCCAGCGATGCTCTCTCTAGTTTAGCATACTCAGCCCGACTCAGCCTCGTTGTCTCTGGCCCTAGACCCGCGATTTTATGAGGCCAGGAAAACTGTGAATTAGGACCCGCCGGCCGGTACTAGGCCAAGTGGAAACGCAACCAAAGACGGGCCGCTGACGTCACAGCCCTCTTAAACCGTGCTCCGCGCTGTAGTGGAAACGCGCCATTAGTGCCGGAACTAAGTACAGGAAAGTACTTGGTGTGAACGCGGCTAATGGGGACTGTGCTTTCAGTGTCGCTCCCCCGACCCTCTGGACCCCCCTCCCTGCTGAAACAGTAACAGCACTTCTCTGGACATCTTTAAGTCAACCCTGAAAACTCAGTATTTCAGTTCTCGCTGAGAAAAAACGACTTCCTCTCTCCTGATTATGTGGCCGTAAAACATGCTGGAGAAAAACTGCTAGAACATAAGTTGGACAAGACTTCATACGGACTAGTTTTATTCTATGATAACCGGACTCTTTCTATGAGTTACAGCTTACCTCTGATCAGCAGATGGAGGTCGTCCTTTAAAGTCTAAGAAGTTGTCCTTCAACCGGTCGCTCTTGAAGGACAGACAGCTGGGAGAGTCTGGTCTCTGCTGCTGGACCCTGAAACAGAAATAGATGCATTTGCAAGCTGGACAAAAACTGATGGAAAATATGTTAAATCTCTTAGAGTCACTTTATATAACAATGTAATGGTAGTGATCGCTTTGTATTGCCGTTGTGTGAACAGATTGAAAAGAACATTAAACATTTAAACCTTCCCCACTTTCTGAGTTCCCTATATCAGCTGGTGGACTGCTCTCTATGTGAAGGACAGCTTTTCAGAGAAAATCCTGAAGACGTGAAGTTTATCTACAAAGCGCCTCGCCTCTCTTCAGCTGCACTCCAGCACCAGCAGTGTGAAGCTAACGTTAAGAATGTGACTTTAAAGGATAACGCCAGAGAGTTCATGCAGACTCCAGTCTGATCCTGAACTTCCTGACGGGCAGGTTCCTCTAACAATACAACAGAAATATATATATATATATATATATATATATGTCTATATATTTATGTTGTATTGTTGGAGGAACCTGTGACCCTGTGTCTATTGCACTACTTCACTGTATCTGTGTATATGACAAATCAAACCTTTGACCTTTGGACTTCCTGAAGGTTACACAGAAGCTTTAACACCGACAACAACTGACTTTATATCAAACGGCTTTTAGTCAGTTTTAGTCTTACCTCCCATCAGCAGATTGAGGCTCCATTGGGCGGTCACTCTTAGAGGACTCAGGTCCAGGTCCAGGTCCAGGTCCAGGTCCAGGTCCCAGGTCCAGGTCGTTGGCCCTCACAGTGTAATCTTTAGGAGGAAACCACTTCCTGTTGCTTCCTCTTTGCCTTTCTTTGGGATCACGCTTCACTTCTACTGGACTCTGAAAATAAAATCTCTACATTTATTAATTTTTAAATGTATGTCTTATATATTTAAACATTCGCTTGCTTTATATTACCCCTTGTATTTATAATTGTTTCATATATTATTTATATTAGATTACAATTTAATTGTTGTATTCCTTTTTATTTATTTCCTGATATGTTTCCACGATTCCTGTTTACAAAAGTATTTTAATATTATTTATTTTAATAATATGTATTTTATTTCATGCTCCTTTACTCTTATCTCTGTTTACTATAGATTTGAATTGTTCTTTAGTAAACAGTGTTCCTGTGAATGAGGCTGAGGGGATCTGTCGCCCTCTGGTGGCCAATGTGCACATGAATATATTATTATCAATCATTCCTCTTTATATTTCCTTTCTTTAAATACTCAGCTGGTCATGTGACGAGGAACAACCAATCACAGCAGAGATATATTTCCGGTGTTTTGTTAACTTCAGGAAATATGTCGACACACACACACACACACACTCGCGCGCACACACACACGCAAACACTCGCGCGCGCGCACACACACACACACACACACACACACACACACACACACACACACACACACACACACACACACACACACACACACACACACACACACACACACACACACACACACACACACACCACACACACACACACACACACACACACACACACACACACACACACACACACACACACACACACACACACACACACACACACACACACACACACACACACACACACACACACAAGTTACAGACATAATTCAAAGTGATCCGAATACAGAGATGGTGAGAAGTGTCTATGTGGAGTTATTCTCTGAGCAATGATTGGTCAGAAGAGTTGTTTCTAAAAGCTCTAAAGTCACAAAGAGTTACAAACCGAGAGAAGAAGAAGAAGCTGCGACACCGCGAGGACAAAGTGAAAGTGAACAGCAAACAGGAAGCACTTCAAAATAAGAGCCCTTACAGAACAGTGATAGCTGACTTTAAACCGGAAGCTGGAAGCATCAGACAGCTGCTGGAAGCTAAAAGCTCTCTCACTGCTTTAGTTTACCATCCAGTCACACATCTGTTCACATCATGAAGACAAGACACACAGGGGGGACAAGAAGGGGGTCTTTAAAACTAACGTGTGCGTATGAGGGGCCGTGCAGGCCGTAATTCATACTGGTCCTCTCACGCACATACATTCTCCTTTTACATACATATATTTTCACTCTCACACACAATGTGTGTAAGAGTGAAAATGTATGTATGTAAAAGGAGAATGTATGTGTGTCACACATACATTCTCCTTTTACATACATACATTTTCACTCTTACACACATACATTCTCCTTTTACATACATACATTTTCACTCTCACACATGTATATATTTACACTCACACATTCATACATTCTGCTCTCATATTATCATATTGCAATGCACACATTCATACATTGTCACTCACACATTTATACGTTTTTCACTCACACATTTTTACATTTTGTTCTCATATTCATATATTTTAATGCTCATATTTATACATTTTGCTCTCATGCACATTCATTCAATGTTTACATTTAATTTTATAAAGAATATATGCATGTATGAAGACAATATATGTATGCAAGAGAAGAATGTATGTATGTATGAAGACAATATATGCAGTGGCGACTGGTCATTAGGGGCAGGTGGGGCACAGCCCCACCTAGTGTCAGCAGAAAGTATTACACATAATGATTACAAAAAATGCAAAGAGATGCAAAAAAAGAAATAAAAAAATATATAAAATATATTTTAAGATCATGTTTAATCATCTGATTCGTCTGTACATTGCTGTTTTAGTCTGTGTTCTTCTAATTAGTGTCTACAGTGCCGTTTTGAGCCATGTGGGACAAAACCTGATCATGCCCCACCCTCTCACTGTCAAAGTGAACGGTGACTGTAAAAACTACACTGCGCATGCTCAGAGTATTTTTCAATGTAATGTGTGTGGCAAAAAAAAAAAGACCATAGGGGCACAGAGCTGCCATCCCCACCATACGTCATCGCACATCATTCAGAGCTGATTGGCTGTAAGTACATGTGCCGCGAAAAGTGTGGTGTGTGAAGAGGAGACGAGAGAGGTGCAGTGACGCGTCCTAAAACCAGGAAGTAAGCTGCAAAAAAGCAATGAGGTTTATCCAGAGGATTTTAGAAAATAGCTCAAAATAAGATCTGTGGGAAACGTACCTGTTAGATAAATGCACGTTTTGTTCAGCCGGATAACATCCACATGTCTACCCTACTTTTATAATTTTTTTATCATAAATCTATTGATTAGATTTATGATAGACTTTTGAAACTACAAGAAGATAAGGAGGACTTTTACAAAAAAGTAATAGACATTTTTGTCCAGAAGGATAGGCAAATGGACTTCATCTTCAAGTCAAGGTAAGACCGCAATTTTTTGAAAATGGGATCTTACTAAGAGAGAACAATTCAATATTTAAATGATAAAATTACATTTTTTGGGTACCCTTTTGTTGAACTGTCTGTTTAAAATTAATCGAAGCATCAGACAAAAAAAGCTTTTGAAAATAATATTATATTTTGGTTTAGGTCAAAATATATTTGTAAACCTGAAGAGTCAGTGCCAGTGCCTCACCAGCCACGAACCTCACTGCATCTAAGTTTTTTGTGCCCCACCACTTTTGTACATATATAAAAACGCCACTGAATATATGTATGCAAGAGAAGAATGCATGTATGTGTGAAGACCATAGACTGTATATATAAATGGACGTAGTGTCCGTGACGTCACCCATAGGATTCTGCAGAGTTGCCGAGAAGCCCTTTGTAGGCGGAGTCGGCCACTAACGGCTCGACAGTGGCGTCAGAGTTCCGCTCCCGCCTGCTCCAAATAAGGGCAGAGGCGGAGCCGAGGCGGGACCTGCTGCCACCGGGCTGGAAGTTCCAGAGCTAGCTGAAGCTACCAAGCTAAGCTAACATGCTCCCCATCTGCACACTGCCGTTACATTTTACATTTCTAAGGTAAGCGGACATGAAACTATTCAGCAAAACTATAAATAATAATCTAAGTTATTGAGTTTTTAGCATAATACTTCAGAATCTTAAAATCCCTTAACGTTTGTATGCAATGTGCTAAATTCAACACTGGAATCAAGCAAATATTAATATGTTTGCATGACATTAGTTATTTATATTTTGCCATCACTTAACTATACGTTTAATACATTTAAGTCAAGCTAAGGTACATGTGATGATAGCTAGTTAGTGCTCTTACCTGTGAGGCCTCCTCCAAACAGCATTATAACCAGACTGTATCATTAAAACTACACGTACCAGTTCTAGATCCTTGACTTTAGACAAACAATTCAAAAGACAAAATGTATTTAAAGACCAATCTTTATTTGAAGGTGCCTCTTAACCTGAGATATTAGTTATACAGTAATAGTATTGACAATCTAAAAAAACTGAGCAACTCAACAGTCAACTTTATATTTCTTATTGTCTAAAGCATTTATTATTTTCATTTTTCCCCTCTCATATTCAGTGTGGATGGATTGAGACAGCGTGGTGTCCAGAGAGCTGCAGAGACTTCAGAGAGAAACCTCCGTGTGATGGACGTCCTGTCTGTTGGTTTGGCCGGAGAGGACTGAGGGTCTTTCCTCTGCGAGGAGGACCAGGCCTGATGGAGGAGCCCATGCATAGCTGATACCACCTGATCAGGCCTAGTCTGTCACTTTATTTGACTAAATGTGTTTACTTATACATTTAATAGGTTTACACCTTCTGTCCATATGTGCTTTTTATTTAAAACATGTTTGATTAACTTTTGGTTCACATTTCAATAAATTGAATTTGTATTTGCACTCCTTTTGTCCATTATTCTTACTGAAAATGTTAGATTACACATTCACATCTGACTGAAGATTGGCCCCATTTATTTGCGTTGCAAACTCTGCGGTACAAGGTACATGTTGTGAAGCTCATGAAGTGAGGCAAATAGAAATAATCAGCTGATGGAGTGTAGATGTGGAAATAGGTGCATTCGATCAGCTGACTGTGTTTTCACAATAAAAATAGTTTCTTAGTGAATGTCCTGTACTGGTCTTAAAATCTCATAACATCAGCTTTTAATTTTCCTATTGGATGTTTTTCTTGACCCTCGGAGAAAGAGGAGATGCTGAGTCGTGTCTTTCAGGCATGTCCTTTCCTAACAAAAATTACAGGAAACATAAAACATATTATTGCAGAACAAGTGTGTTATTTATGAAAGAGGTGTGTTTGTGTTTAGGGGCTGTAGATATAATTATTTTGTAATTGGAATGTTTTTTTTTATTTCATCAGTGAGCTACAAAGACAATCAGATTATGAATGAACAGTATGGAATTCATCAACATTGAAATGTATTTTATTATCAAAATAATATTTAACTGTTATTAAAACAAGCTTGCTCTGTTGTCTCACTGAAAGAATAACTTTTACCACGTTTTTACAGACAATATTGAGAGATAAATAGCAGTTGTCACTATGTGTTAAATATCTTTGCTTTCAATACATTAAATTAGAAAGCTGACAGTCATATTGCTTGTTAACATCTAAAGTAACCCTTTGCATGGAAAAAACCCTCAACTTCACTGATGTGTAGGTGATCTAGTATTTAGTATTGTTTAATGGAATGTATAGCAGTGTATTAAAGTCAATACTTCATTGATTTAAACCAATATCTTTCTTGATTCTTTGTACAGTATGAAAAAAGAGTATTTGTACCTGTGCTGAAGTTCACTGCTGTGAGGAGTCCAGTTCTGTCTCTCACTCTCTGGTCCAGCCTGTCTGCATCACCTGGAAACTTTAAACAAACAGATATATATGTAAAGTACCATGTGTACAAACAATATAACTTATTCTCTTCTGTTGAACATGTTGGATTGTGTATTGCCCGAGTCAGGGTCCTTTTTATTTTACTGTAACTTTGGAAGTTGTGTTACCAATGCTTACTGTTTATTTGATACCAATTTGGTAATGCAATTAATAAAAACAACAAGGTTTGGGTTCGTTCTTCAGATGACTGTGATGTTAATGTGTAAGCTCAATAATGAACTTCAGCTCAACCAACCATATTGTAATATCCAAGTAATCATCTTGAAATATGACATTAATAATTGTAATATACACACATCTTATTGTGAGGTTGATTTCACATACACTACTTCGACATTAGCTTGTCTACATACTTCAGCATAGCGGATTTAAATTAACCTTAGCGATGCATACAGTTCCTACCTACATAATAAAATATCTCTCTAAGTTACAAGGATGACCTTATTTTATCAACCTCAAACAGAAGCCGTTTGTTCTCCAGTATTATCCCACTTAACGCTTAACACTTGTCTATTTCGTTTTAACCTTCATATATACAGTCTATGGTTTTAACTTGCAGGCTACGATTAGCATCGTTAGCACAGATGTAGCTACCACTCGCTTACACGCTAACCCAAGCCTTAACATTCATTACGTAGCTGATTAAAATCATAAACACATAAATAAAGTACTCGAATTTCACTTACCGCAAAACCGCATTCATGCACCGTCTGTTTTAACCGCAGAGCGAGTCACAATAGTCCGATATAAGCATGAAGATACGGACCGTTAGCCCCGCAGTCATCCGGTTCGACCTGACTATGGCTGTGACTGTGTGGCCGTTTCTCAATCGCGAGGATGCTGGCTTGGTAGCTTCAGAAGCAAGGCAAGAATACTTCCTGCTATTCGGAAAACAAAGAGTGGAACAGGCTAGCAAGTGTGCAGGTGTGCATCATATGAGAGGCCCCGCCTTACATCTTCCGCCACAGATTTGGGGAAATTGGTCCATGCGCAAAGCATTGTGGGGATTTTAAGGACGCGAAGTCTACCCATGTGCAGCCTCGAAATTTCCCCCAAACCAAGGACGCGGCCTCGGTGGAATTCCAAGTATGCTGGAGATTGGAACAGTCCTTCGGCGGCACTCGATGACGTAGCATCCTTGAAATATTGGCTTGGAAGCCAATATCCTCGCGATTGAGAAACGGCCCGTGACTGACCCGAGCCTCGTCGTTGTGATAGCTCCGCCCCTTCGCTCCAACCCCCCTCCCTCCCCCCACATCTACAGGTGAAAATTACTTTAGCGACACATTCATCGCAAGAAGTGTAGCAAAAGTCAAGGCCGCAGATTCGTGGATTTATACTGCCACAGAGCAGATTCGTGAAGTTGTAATGACTGATTTGAGAGGTTGTAATAACCAAGTTGCAGTTGTAATGGAAAATATATTTAAAAAATATATATTTTTCTGCAAGTGAACATTTCATCACTAAGTTCATTTTTTTTCTACAAGCTACAAAACTTTTTTTTTTTCTTCTGTGACTTCAAATGTGGTTCACAGATACGTGGATATTTTATACAAGTGTAAATGTATGCACACAAGCTCAGATATCTTTTCTGCAAGTGCTCATATCAGGTTTTACACGCTCTCGTGTACCATATCTACCTTCATACCTTTTGCCCCCTCGTGGCGCCGGGCCCGACACACACACTCACACACACGCAAACACACACACACACACACACACACACACAAACACACACACACACACACACACGCAAACACACACACACACGCAAACACACACACACACACACACACACACAAAGAAGTTACAGACATAATTCAAAGTGATCCGAATACAGAGATGGTGAGAAGTGTCTATGTGGAGTTATTCTCTGAGCAATGATTGGTCAGAAGAGTTGTTTCTAAAAGCTCTAAAGTCACAAAGAGTTACAAACCTTTCGAGAGAAGAAGAAGAAGCTGCGACACCGCGAGGACAAAGTGAAAGTGAACAGCAAACAGGAAGCACTTCAAAATAAGAGCCCTTACAGAACAGTGATAGCTGACTTTAAACCGGAAGCTGGAAGCATCAGACAGCTGCTGGAAGCTAAAAGCTCTCTCACTGCTTTAGTTTACCATCCAGTCACAAATCTGTTCACATCATGAAGACAAGACACACAGGGGGGACAAGAAGGGGTCTTTAAAACTAACGCGTGTGCGAGCGCACACACACACACACACACACACACACACACACACCATCCTGATCACTCTCTGAAGAAAGCCCTGCAGAGAGTGATCAGGATGGCAGAGAAAACCATCGGCTGCCCCCTGCCCTCTCTGGAACTCATCTCCACCTCCCGCTGCCGCAGCAGAGCTAACACAATAATAAAGGACAGCTCTCACCCAGATCACAGCCTGTTCTCTCTCCTGCCTTCTGGGAGGAGATACAGGAGCTTCAAGTCACGGGCAAACAGACTCAAAAACAGTTTCTACCCCTGGGCCGTCAGGCTGCTTAACCACCACACATCATGCAATAACCGTAACCATTCTCACACATACACACTTTTAATACACTTTATTTACTATTTTTATATCAATATGTTTAACTATTTATTCCCCCGTATGATTGTTTATGGTGTCTGTCCTATTGCCGTGTTTTAGTGTTATGTACGTGTTTGTATTTTTTGCACTCCGGGACAGAGTTGCACTCTGAATCTCGTTATACTCTGTGTATAATGACAATAAAAGGCTTTAACTTAAAACACACCCACACACACACACACACACACACACACACACACACACACACACACACAGGGGCCAAGCACAAAGCCTTGAGGTACACCTTGATTGACTGGGGCAGATGGGGAACTGCAGTCACTGATGGTGACAAGGTGTTTCCGGGATCTGGTATCGAAGGCTGTGATGGCCCTCCTCAGCTGACCGTAGTATCGAGAGGACGCTTGAAGGCTGTGTGTGGCTAACTGCGCACCCCTGAGATGAGGGGCAGCAGACACACAGCCCACTCCCCATTTTTTAACCTGGTTAAATAAAGGCTACAAACAAACAAACTCCTCCTCCGGCCAGCCGCACGCAGCCTCTCCCCACTCCAGCTGCTGGCGCTCTAACCACACCCTGCTGCCACACAGGTGTATATCAGTATGTAGTGTCTCTACTTTAAAGAGTCCTCTCCTGCTGATGTTCAGGTGTATGTCAGTATGTAGTGTCCCTACTTTAAAGAGTCCTCTCCTGCTGATGTTCAGGTGTATGTCAGTATGTAGTGTCTCTACTTTAAAGAGTCCTCTCCTGCTGTTTAAAGAGTCCTCTCCTGCTGATGTTCAGGTGTATATCAGTATGTAGTGTCCCTACTTTAAAGAGTCCTCTCCTGCTGATGTTCAGGTGTATGTCAGTATGTAGTGTCTCTACTTTAAAGAGTCCTCTCCTGCTGTTTAAAGAGTCCTCTCCTGCTGATGTTCAGGTGTATATCAGTATGTAGTGTCTCTACTTGAAAGAGTCCTCTCCTGCTGATGTTCAGGTGTATATCAGTATGTAGTGTCCCTACTTTAAAGAGTCCTCTCCTGCTGATGTTCAGGTGTATATCAGTATGTCGTGTCTCTACTTTAAAGAGTCCTCTCCTGCTGATGTTCAGGTGTATATCAGTATGTAGTGTCTCTACTGTAAAGAGTCCTCTCCTGCTGATGTTCAGGTGTATATCAGTATGTAGTGTCTCTACTTTAAAGAGTCCTCTCCTGCTGATGTTCAGGTATATATCAGTATGTAGTGTATCTACTTTAAAGAGTCCTCTCCTGCTGATGTTCAGGTGTATATCAGTATGTAGTGTCTCTACTTTAAAGAGTCCTCTCCTGCTGATGTTCAGGTGTATATCAGTATGTAGTGTCTCTACTTTAAAGAGTCCTCTCCAGCTGATGTTCAGGTGTATGTATGTGTGTGTGTGTGTCTGTGTGTGTGTGTGTGTGTGTGTGTGTGTCTGTGTGTGTGTCTGTGTGTGTGTCTGTGTGTGTTTCTCAATCGCGAGTACGCTTGCTTGGTAGCACATGTCTGCCGAGCATCTTGCTTCAGAAGCGAGTCAAGAATACTTCCTGGCATTCGGAAAACAAAGAGCGGAACAGGCTAGCAAGTGTGCAGGTGTGCGTCATATGAGAGGCCCCGCCTCTTACATCTTCCGCCACAGATTTGGGGAAATTGGTCCGTGCGCAAAGCATTGTGGGAATTTTAAGACCGCGAAGTCTACTCATGTGCAGCCTCGATATTTCTCCAAACGGAGTACGCCGGGCTCGGTAGATTTCCAAGTATACTGGAGATTGGAACAGTACTTCGGCGGCACTCGATGACGTAGTATGCTTGAAATAGTGGCTCTGAAGCAGCTTTACTCGCGATTGAGAAACACCCTGTGTGTCTGTGTGTGTGTGTGTCTGTGTGTGTGTGTGTGTCCCTAACCCAATCAAAAGTCACATCCTTTAACACGAATGCTAAAGAAGAATAAAAGCAGCACACGAGAGAAAATCTGCAATTTGTTCAACTTTATTGAGAAACCCCCGACAGAGCTATGCGTGGATCCGTCAGCCGCTGAGAGCTTGGAGTTTCATCTTCAGTGCAGAAAGAGGAGAACAGTGTGGGATGAACTAACGGCTCTCTCGTCTAAAAACAACAAAACAAAAACAGAATAAAACCAACAAACAAAGCTGTGGTTTCTCTTTATCTCAGCAGCACATGAACCAATCACTGACATGCATTCCATGATTGATCTGTTAGTCGTTCTCTCTTCAGTCCGCGCTGCTCTGGCTGCTTCTATTCTTGCAGTTGGCACATTCACAGCTCAGAGTCCTCACCCCTTCACCTGCTTTATTTATTTACTTTATTTTGAAAAGCAGAGGGAAAAGAAAACAATAACACCTGACATTTTTAAAAGCAATTTGAAGGTTTAAAAAAAAAAAGGAGATAATGAACAAATTGCTGTTATTGGCTGATGAGAGGGAGGGGGCGTGGCCACATGAGAAAACCCAAAAAGTGTATTCCAGCAGTGAGAGGAGGAGGAGGAGGAGGAGGAGGAGGAGGAAGAGGAAGGTCACATGGCGTATTTCTGAGTCCAGTCCTGAGCCGTCTTGTTGTACCTGCAGGGGAGAGATGTTCAGGTGAGATCAGCTGTTACCGGGCAGATCAGGGACGATGCCATGCCTGCAAACACAACACACACTCAGCGCTGTCCCATCTATTTTATATTCGTCTCCATTTTCTATTCAAAATGCTAAGAACTGCAGCCAAGTTCAACCTCAGAAGCTGCCAGAAGAAATGAAACGTACAAAATAAATGGGGCGAAGCCTGCGAGCTAGTTCAGGCAGTCAACTCCAGCACCAATGATACATTAACACGTGACGCGCCTCGTCCCTCTTACAACCAACCAAACACATTCTCCTAAACATGCCGCTCTATTGAAGCTGCCAGGTCTTCCTGCCTCTGCCTCGCTATGCTGCTGCTGCTGCTGCTGTGTTCACTTGCTATGCTGCTGCTGCTGCTGCTGCGTTCATGTTCCTGCTGCTGTGTTTCATGTTGCTGCTGCTCGCCTGCCCCCCCACCACCCCAGCTCCACCTGTAGGCTCGGGGGGTAGTTATCTAATCATCACTCAATGTTCTTTGTAAATCTGTGGAGTGATGAGGCCCGAGCCTAGACGCCAAACTCAAACTATATGCTGCTTCTAATAAACATATTAAGAAACACGTGAGTTGTCTGAAATAACCTTTGTGGTGTCTAAAATACGTCTTTTTCTATAAGCTGTCATCTTCTTTAGGTAACACACTGACTAAGGACAACTGCATCCTTCAACCTGACTTTAAAACATCCTCTTAAACTTCTGATGTTGTGTTTAAAACCCCTGACTTGGTTCTTTGTGTCTGAGAGTCTCTGGGAACCTGCAGGTGAGAGAGGAGCGTCTGAAACATGAGAGATGAGCCGCTCGGACTCTGTTTCCGGAGCCATGCTTTGCATCAAAACGTGCTTCAAGTCCACAAATCCAGCGTGGGAGTTTCCAGCGCTTACCCTCACAGCATGGCATACTTGTCTGTCCACTCCCTGGCTAGTCTGTTATACCTGAGACAGACACTCGCGTTACAAAGAAAGGACTCTACGTTTGATGCGTTGCTACTTTAGGGAAGATCTGGGTTCGTAGTCCAAACTAAGGGCGTCTGTTTGTAGATGTTAACACTGCTAGTTTTTATTATAATAATGAACTCACTTTACGGGGTCTGTTTTGTAGATGCGGGCGATCTCTGGCACTAGCGGGTCGTCGGGGTTCGGGTCACATAACAGAGAACAAATGGACAAAAGGACTGCGGAGAGAAACACATGATCATCAATCAAATACAGATATTTGTCACAACTGCAAAAAAACAACACTTTTTATTGTTTTTAAAAACAACCAAAACCATCAGAGGACAGCTTTGTTTTTATGGGGCTCCGACGTCACATTGTTGTTTACGTCACGTTGTTGTTTACGTCAGGAGATATCTTGTTTACGTCACGTTGTTGTTTACGTCACGTTGTTGTTTACGTCACTTTGTTGTTTACGTCAGGAGATATCTTGTTTACGTCACGTTGTTTACGTCACTTTGTTGTTTACGTCACTTTGTTGCTTACGTCAGGAGACATCTTGTTTACGTCAGGTTGTTCTTTACGTCAGGTTGTTGTTTACATCAGGAGATATCTTGTTTACGTCACGTTGTTGTTTACGTCACTTTGTTGTTTACGTCACTTTGTTGTTTACGTCAGGAGATATCTTGTTTACGTCACGTTGTTGTTTACGTCACTTTGTTGTTTACGTCAGGAGATATCTTGTTTACGTCACGTTGTTGTTTACGTCACGTTGTTTACGTCAGGAGATATCTTGTTTACGTCACGTTGTTGTTTACGTCACTTTGTTGCTTACGTCAGGAGACATCTTGTTTACGTCAGGTTGTTCTTTACGTCAGGTTGTTGTTTACATCAGGAGATATCTTGTTTACGTCACGTTGTTGTTTACGTCACTTTGTTGTTTACGTCAGGAGATATCTTGTTTACGTCACGTTGTTGTTTACGTCACTTTGTTGTTTACGTCAGGAGATATCTTGTTTACGTCACGTTGTTGTTTACGTCACTTTGTTGTTTACGTCACTTTGTTGCTTACGTCAGGAGACATCTTGTTTACGTCAGGTTGTTGTTTACATCAGGCGACAACTTGTATCATGTTGTTGTTTATATATATCTTATAAACAAGATCAGAGACACAGTGCTCATGCTACATCTCTCTCTCTGATAAGCTATGATGAATTTACCAAATTCAACTCAAATCAACATCTGGTGAAATGTGTAAAGTTTAAAGCAAGAGAAGAAGTCTGCACGTTATATGTCTTTGTTTGGTAAGGACTGAGTGCTGGTTCTGAATCGAGGGCCCTTTCTCATGTCATCAATTCCCCCTCCTCGACTCCTCGACTCCTCGGTCCTCCGGTAGTGACCCGGAAATGAATTTTAGCGCGCCATGTTGAAGGACATCTCATTTCTCTCAATGCACATCGAGGACCGAGCATCGAGCGTCGAGGAGGCTCTCTGGAGGAGCTATAACCGAGGATACACTGATGGGTCCTCCACGGTCCTCCACGGCTCCTTCGTGGATGCATTTCCGGCAACAGTGATGTTTCAAAGAGTCGTGACGCACGGCCGGACTTATCTCAGCCAATCACAGCTCTGCATGCATCCCCCGGATATTATTTTATGAACTGCTTTCATCGCGACGCGATGTTTACAGTGAGAACAGCTGTGAGGTCCGTGCAGAAAGCAGAGCAGTGTGTATAATATATATCACTCAGTATAACAGGCCTACTCTCTTTATTTGCTTTAGTTTAGTAGATATCTACAAACAAAGTCGATATTTTTCTAAAACCATTTAGTGCTTCACATAATAAAATACACAACGGCTGTAGCCTGATTATGCTTTAGGAGCTGTAGGTGCGTGTGTGTGGTGTAGGTGTGTGTGGTACAGTGTGTGCGTAGATGCAGTGGACAGACAGGTCTCAGTTGGTTTGGTGTCCTCTGCTTACTTTTAATACTTGTAAATAAAACTTTTGGCCCGTCATTTATTTTCCTCATTGTAGCGACCAGAGAGGGGAGAGGGGGGGGGGGATATATCCAGTCTCTGATAGTGTTACGTTATTATGAGAGTGCTCTGTTTGATTCTAAAATTGTATATATTTATATAAATATATACATATATGTGTGTGTGTCTGTGTGTATGTCCGCATCTGTAGCCTGTTATTGTCTCATTATACCGCACTGTGAATGATTCAAAGTAAATATATAAGTCGTCATGAACACATCTGTCCATCAGACAGAGGGCTGTGCCTCCTGTCATCATTAATGGACGTCTCTTTAAAATGACCGCTCAGAGGAGAGGAGTTCTCATTTCTCTAACCGCCTGCTGCTTCCCCTCCTCTCTCCTCGGTTCCCCTCCTCGGCTCCTCCGCTCGCATCTCCTGTGGGCGGGACTAAGTCTCGAGGATAGGAGTCGAGGAGGGGAATTTGAAGACATGAGAACGGGCCTAAATGAGTCTTCACAGCGCGACTGAAACTCACCTTTAGAGATAGTTAATGCAGGAGACCACTGTGATCTCAATATATCCAGGCAGATGCTGCCGTTACTGTTAATATTTGGGTGATAAATTCTTGTTGTGAAGGCGACCTGAAGGAGAGAGGAGAAACACACAAAACAATAACTCAGAGATCAGAGAGAAGCCTCTTACATAACAACCGCCTCAATACCATAAGATAGATATCAGAGGTATTGATCACTAACTGGGAAATGTTTGCGTTGCAGCAGCATAACAAGACATTGCACACAAGTAGAAATAATAATAATAATAAATTAGTCGAAATAGAAATAAAACAGTTGACCGTGAAGATAATAAATCTATAAACTATCTGAGGAGGAAACTGTTGATGAATGAATTTCGCCTTTTCAACGTGTTATTTTGAATATGTGTTTAATGAAATGGTTATGTTTGCCACCCCTTTGCTCGTCCCTGCAAACACACAGAGTTTATTTTATTTAAACCAGAAATATCATTTAATTAATATCGCAAATTCTAAAAGCAATTGTAGTTCTTTTTTAATAAATGATTGACTGAAGTCCTGCGGATGCTGTTTATTTTGGATTGTGTCAAAACCACAACTCTATAGAGGCTTTAGGAAAACCTTTGTACCATTTTAAAAACACAACAATACTCAGATGCTCTTTGCTAAATGTATGTAGCAAATGTTTGGCTTTTTGACAAGAAAGACATTTACTAGGAAAACCACTTAATATTCTTATGCTGCGTTCACACCGGACGCGATGCGAATATTCGCTTCGCTCTAAAACAGGGGTGGGGAACCTTTTTCCTCTCAAGGGCCATTTCAATTTTTTCAACATCCTCAGAGGGTCGTACAAATGATTGACCTCTGCTTAAAAATACTAAAATCACAGCCCATTCATTTGGCCTTTCATGTGTGCAAAGAAAAAGAACCTCTGAATCCAGATATCTCACCATGACTCGCGCATGCACGTGCACGGTGTGGCATGACCACCCAAACAGAAAGATATGGACACAAGATGTGTGCAAATGTATAGTTTCCTATCCATGATGATTTAAATGGGGGGGGGGGGGGGGACCCTAACCTCCTCTAGGGGGTCCGGGGGGCTCTCAACACCCATATGAAACAGAACTGTAAACAGATTTTTTTTTCTTTATGGATATTTTACAAATCACTCTCTTCAAACTGTATTCTTCTTTATTAATAACAACTTTTTACTGTCATCTAGTATTTTATACCTGTTTACTTTATTCTCTTATTTTGTTATAACTATAATGATCATATAAAGATGTGCCTTTACCTCACTGGTTGGAGAAGAAGCTTCTTATATTCGTTAGCATAGCTAGCTAACCAGATGCTAACAACAAAGTTATTGACTGTATGATCAGTATGACAGAGGAACAGATCTCCACTGGGCTTTCAACTAAAGACACAGCCACGCAGAAACTGTGGCATGTGTACGGCTCCTTATGGGTACTGCCATTTGTGAAGTGGCGGAGCGGCGTTCTGGTGCTCTCCGTCAGAACTGCACCCCTGTCAGACGAGACATATACCACGTGATGACACGTTAGGCTCGTGTTGTGTTCAATGACCCTGACCTTGGCCAGGAAAAACAGGCACTCGCTTGTTTAATTCTTTTGCGGTCTAGATTTCTTTAATTTCTTTCTTTTTTGCGTGTGTTTATAAATTACCTCGAGGGCCGTATCAAATGGTCTCGCGGTCCGTACACGGCCCGGAGGCCGGAGGTTCCCCACCCCTGCTCTAAAGGCTCGAGTTTCACCGCGGCTGTCAGCTGTGTTTACTCGCATCATTGAAACAAGACGCACTGGCAAGGGGGCTACAACTACAACAAAATGAACATATGTTACCGTGATTTAATTGTAATACACGTTTCAAAATGATGCCGAAGTAACAACATACTGATACCGGTTAGTAAAAACCATGAATTAATGCTTTGTCAAGTCTGCAGACAGACGGCAGGCGAAAAACCTTTTAAAATGCGTGTTTTCTAAATGGAGATTGGCTAAGCTAACGCAGTATATGCTCCGACCGTCCACACTCACAACAACGGCCTATACAGACATAAATAAAGCAGCGACTGTATTCACCATGACACAGGCAGTCTGTGGTTTGTACTTGTTTAACTTTTGTCTAGTTTCTGAACATATATGAGGAGCTGTGAGCTCTGAGTGCTAATAGCTAACGGTGTATGTTTTGGTTTTCTGATTCAACGTCAGTGACGGCAGGCTGAGATCCTCACCGCTGATTGGCTACCGCGACATCGCGTCACGTGAATTTGACGCTCGAGTTGAAACAATTGAACTCCAGCGGTTGTCTCGGCCCCCTTCAATCGCGCCGCGGCATTCGCATCAACCGCTTCATGCGCGCCGTCGGAGCAAATTTGCGTCTGTCCGCGTCTCTGCTTTGACTTTACATGTAATCGCGCTGCCCCCAAACATCGCATCGCGTCCGGTGTGAACGCAGCATTAGATATAAAGTGGTAGAGAAACAAACCCTCAAATGTATGAGAATAGAAATGTGAATCGGTGGCGGCTCACTGACCTTGGGGGGTTTGAAGGGATAATCTGTGGGGAAATGAATAGTCAGGAAAAATACTCCGCCCTGATAGGGACTGTCGGGCTGAAACAGAGAGAAATAACACATTTAAACAATTATATATTTAAACATTTATAAATCACTAAAAAGAGAGAAGTTACTCTTTAAACTCCACGATTAAACGTGACCGAGTCGTGTCGTTATCAATCCAGTAATCCCGTTTATATATTATATAAAACAGTTGTATACTTACAGGACCCATAATTGTAGCTTGCCAATGAAACACTGGAAACAGAAAAGAGAGGATTAATAAATGTTGTTGACTGAGTGTCGGCTGTACACAAACAGAGAGACTTTGTTGTTTTGTTTGTTTTAGTAAAATGATCACTCACTGTCTTCACCGACGGGTCCCGCAGAGCACTGAGCCGGAGGGTCTCTGGACAGATCAGTTAACTCCTGAGAGGAGGAGGAGGAGGAGAAGAAATGTTGTATTAGTATGGTCTACATTAACGTTTCTCAACACGTACATGTAAAAGTCTGAAAGAAGACGTTTATCACAAATTCAAAATAAAAGCCTTAGTAGTTCTTTTGGCTCGAACCACATCAGCCCTGAAACAACAGTCAGCTCTTTGTGAGTCGGCTGCTTCCTGTTCTCTTTCACCACTTCCTGTTTGAACACATCCACAACAGCTGATTCCCTCATAACCAGAAACATGAGCAAGCTTTGTTTAAAAGCACAGATAACTGAATATTGAAAAACACATTTTAAATGTTTACTATGTTACTAGTAGAAGATATGTTCAGCGCTTAGTTGCAGCTCAGCGGACTAGTAAAGTTCATTTACCAAATCATTTCAGCAGCATCACTACAAAGACTTATTTGGAAAGGACAGACGCAGCTCTATACTGCAGAGCTAACAATTAATAAAACACTTAAAGGCAGGGTAGGTAAGAATGGAGAAAGCAGCTAGAACTTGAAACTATGCAGCCGAAACAAATCTGCCCCTTCCTTACAGAGCCCCTCCTCCAACACACACGAACGCACACATGACCAATGAGGGCACGAGATAAGTTTGTGCACAGATGGAAGGCTGACAGGCAGGTAGGCCATCCAGTTATTGCAGCCGGGCCGGCTCAGATGATTGGTCGTGCTTTTTACAGTACTACGGCTTCCACAGATGATATTTTTTATGGATTTATTGTCAAAGCTTTTAATATATTCATTGCTATCGGGATGTTAAGAGCATTCCATGGAATATAACAAAAAGTGTTTCTGAAGTGAATTACCTACCCCACCTTCTGCAGATTCATCTATAAAGAAATTAATAGTAGGGTGCAGCACTATTTTTAAATCACAGTAAACTGAATATTGGACAAAAAAAACACACATTTAAAAAGGAGTCACCTTGGACATTTATGACTATCGTTTGAAACTTTATACCAAATGATTATTCTATCAAATAATCTGCAGTTTTACAGATTAGGGAAGAGACTGTTAGTTGCTGCTAATGTTGACTATTGTCTAAAATTGTATTTACAGAAATACAATCTAGAATTTTTGGGGGGAAATCTGAAAAAAAGAACGGTTTCCAGTCTGACCACCAGAGGGCGATATAACAGAGAGACAGACAGAGACACACACAGACAGACAGAGAGACAGACAGAGACAACACACACACACAGACAGACAGTTGCAGCTGTTTTTGACATTACATCGACCATGTGACTGATTATAAAAACATCTCTGCAGAGAGAGAGTTTTCCCTTGGACATTTATGACTATCGTTTGAAACTTTATACCAAATGATTATTCTATCAAATAATCTGCAGTTTTACAGATTAGGGAAGAGACTGTTAGTTGCTGCTAATGTTGACTATTGTCTAAAATTGTATTTACAGAAATACAATCTAGAATTTTTGGGGGGAAATCTGAAAAAAAGAACGGTTTCCAGTCTGACCACCAGAGGGCGATATAACAGAGAGACAGACAGAGACACACACAGACAGACAGAGAGACAGACAGAGACACACACACACACAGACAGACAGTTGCAGCTGTTTTTGACATTACATCGACCATGTGACTGATTATAAAAACATCTCTGCAGAGAGAGAGTTTTATTTTGAAAGGACAGCAGCTTTAAAACAAACAGGTTATTGATGCGTTAGCAGCGGAGGATCTATTTATACTGCAGTGAGTAGGGGGGGGGGGGGGGGGGGGGGGGGGGGGGGGGGTGGGTCAGGATATATCGGTGGGGTTTTGTGGGGGGGGGGTATTTCAGGTCTCGGTGGTATGCGACACACTCAGCTCATCTTTCAGATTTCAGTTCAGGGAGGAGAGTAAATGTCGAGGAATTCAGACGGAGACTAAAGCAGCACGCTGTTACTGATTCATTAAATAATATATTTAATATCGAGGAGGACTCTTTAAAGTAGAGACACTACATACTGATATACACCTGAACATCAGCAGGAGAGAACTCTTTAAAGTAGAGACACTACATATGATATACACCTGAACATCAGCAGGAGAGGACTCTTTAAAGTAGAGACACTACATACTGATATACACCTGAACATCAGCAGGAGAGGACTCTTTAAAGTAGAGACACTACATACTGATATACACCTGAACATCAGCAGGAGAGAACTCTTTAAAGTAGAGACACTACATACTGATATACACCTGAACATCAGCAGGAGAGGACTCTTTAAAGTAGAGACACTACATACTGATATACACCTGAACATCAGGAGGAGAGGACTCTTTAAAGTAGAGACACTACTGATATACACCTGAACATCAGCAGGAGAGGACTCTTTAAAGTAGAGACACTACATACTGATATACACCTGCACATCAGCAGGAGAGGACTCTTTAAAGTAGAGACACTACATACTGATATACACCTGAACATCAGCAGGAGAGGACTCTTTAAAGTAGAGACACTACATACTGATATACACCTGAACATCAGGAGGAGAGGACTCTTTAAAGTAGAGACACTACATACTGATATACACCTGAACATCAGCAGGAGAGGACTCTTTAAAGTAGAGACACTACATACTGATATACACCTGAACATCAGGAGGAGAGGACTCTTTAAAGTAGAGACACTACATACTGATATACACCTGAACATCAGGAGGAGAGGACTCTTTAAAGTAGAGACACTCATTTCATTTAATTTCAAACCTTTATTTATTCAGGTTGTATCCCATTGAGATCATTGACCTCTTTTTCAAGGGAGACCTGCATACTGATATACACCAGGACAGAAAATAAAATATGCTATTGTTTTAGTCTTATATATATTTATGGTGCATCGTTGGGACTTGAGATTCTTATTGCAATAGCTGCACTGCAGCGTGCGTGTGGTAATAAAGCATTTAAATCTGCTTTGAATCTAGAAAATAGCCAATCATTAATTTTCCAAAATATATATGTGATTGCACATTAAAGGGTACATCTAAACCTTAACTGCCTCTGTTTCAGTTATTAAATCGGACCCAAAAAGTCCAGGTAGAGATAAAGATTATATCCTTAGAACATTTGGGGGAAATTGGGGAGAGAAGTTCATCTTTAACTTTGTTTAAGTGGCGTTTTGCATCTTTTTACCTGTAATAACAGTGTCCTCTCCGTTAAAGGCAGCTCATTGTGGAATAGCCTCCCAACTGAGATACGGGATTGTCCCACTCTCAATAGCTTTGAACACTTTATATATCTCTTGTATCTTCTCTTGCACTTTATATGTCGTTGCTGCTACATTGTGCTGCCATGTGGTAAATTCTTATATGCTGCTCATGCTCTTTCTGCATATCATGTCTTTATTTTTGCTATGTTTATAAATGTTATGTTCTTTTTTTTTACACTTATGCTTTTATTGAGTTTTCACAACAATAATAACAGAACAAGAAAACATAATACACACAAATCAGTTGTAAAATAAAGCACAATAAATACTAGTTGTCTGAAGACCTTCAATATTCACACATACCGTACAGGATTGAATTAGTCATTCACTTACTCATTGGTGTCAACCATGTAAATATTCCACTTTTCCCATTTCCTATTGAATGCATTCTCTTGGATTCTCAAAACATATGTCAGCTTTTCCATGACGAAAATATCTTGAACAATTTCCAGCCACTGCTCCTGAGTCGGAGCGTTCACATTAAGCCAATTCCTAGTTATAGCTTTCTTACTCGCTGCAAGTAAAACCTTAATCAAATATAGATCGCCTCCCATCACAACATCCTTAATGTTCCCAAGATACATCACCGGGCAGGTATTTGGGATTCCATAACCCAAAATAATTTTGACAACTGCATTAACCTTCTCCCAATATGACCTTATCTTTGTACAGTTCCAGAAAATGTGTGAGTGGTTAGCCTCCATGTTGCCACACAACCTCCAACACTGTTGCTGTACACCAAGTTGCCTGCTCTTTATTTTGGGTGTTATGAAAAAGCGAGTCAGGTTCTTCCAGCAGAATTCCCTCCATACTAATGAGTTTGTGGATGTAAATTGCGTCTCGAACATTTGAAACCATTCTTCCTCTGAAATTTTAATTTGTAACTCTACTTCCCATTTTGCTTTTATGTAGATAGTCGATTCCCCCCTGTTTCCCCCCAAAGCCTGGTAGAAAGCAGAAATTATCCGGGACCCCTTCTGCTGATACGCATCCACAATCACCCCAGTTACAGTATCTACAGATTCATCTGCATTCAGCTTTATCTCTTTTACAAAATAGTGTCTTAGCTGCATGTATCTAAAATAATCCCTGTCTGTAATACCATATTTTGCCTGTAATTCCTGAAAACCCATCAATTCACCCTTTTCTGAAACCGTACACATTGCTGTTATGCCCTTTTGCACCCATTCTTTGAATGCTGGATCGTACACACCTGGTTTAAAATTGGAATCGTATGCAAACCACCTCAGCGTGCGTATCCCTCTCTTTAATTTGTATTTTGCTACTACAACATTCCAGACCTCTAGTGTAAACGCAACTATCGTATTAATTTCACCTCTCAGAGCCTTCACCAAATTCCTATCTCCTACCAAGGCCTGAATGTGGTGACCCTGTACCTCCCTTTCCATGGCTTTCCATCCAGACTCATAATCTGGTCTACACCAGTAGGCCAAAGGTCTGAGTTGGGCTGCATAGAAGTATTCCCTAAGATTTGGTAAAGCCATTCCCCCCTTACTTTTAGGCAACTGAAGTGTCGTAAATCGTATTCTTGGTTTTTTACTATTCCAAACAAATCTAGAAATCATCCTGTCCCAGGTTATGAATTTTTTTTGGGGAACATCAATTGGAAAAGACTGAAAAAAAATACAGCAGCCTAGGTAGGATATTCATTTTAACCGTTTGTATTCTGGCACTGAAGTCTAAAGGGAGGGTGGACCACCTTTCTACATCCTTTCGGATATTGTCATCAATTTTGTTA